AACGATGTGCTCTGACACGTGTTCCCCCCATAACTGTCCTGGTCTGTTTTGGTAGTGGGTGCGGGGTGCGGGTAGTCGGTTTTCGCCGTCTTTTTTTGATGGGGCTGGCCCTCATGGCGTCCGTGCGTTTGTGCGCGTGGCCTTGGCCCCTACTGCGGCTGCCTTGCTGCTTGGTGTAGTGGTTCATGTTCGACGAGGCGTGTCGGCCTCCTGCTGCACGGAGGCAACCGGACCAACGGCCCAGGCGGTGCGGATGCGGGTCCGCGGGCATTTGAGGCGGTGGCGCGTATGGCACACGCGGAGGTTACGTGTATTTGGCGCGTCCCATGGCAATGCTCTGCGGCGATGCCTCCGTGTTGGACCGAATGGCCGACCCCCGTGTCCTCGCGGCGCTGCAGCCTGAGTGCGCTTTTGCATTTTCCTCCCGATTGTGCGCTGCGCCTCCGCCCGGCCCACGCAGTTTGTTTTTCGCCGCACATGGTGGAAGGCACTTGAGCGAGATTGTGTGGCGGCATTGGGAGCCGCTGCGGCGCGGGTCTCCGACGGGGCGGCTGCCACGGCATGGGGCGGGTGGAGCCCCCAGTCGTCGACGCGCCCGCGCGCGTGTGCGGCACGAGTGGGACGGGCGTTCCGCCAGGGGTGGAGGCAGCCATCCACTAGCGGGGAGGGGGGGGGGGCTATTGGAGCAGGCGGTGGCTCGTGGTGTGGGTTGGCCGCGCAGGGTCGATGCGCGAGCCGAATACACCTTGTCTGTCCCTGGGCTCGGACGCCTGCCTCGTTCGGCAAAGCAGCCATGTTCGCATGCGCAATGTGGCGCCGCCGGGCATAGAGGGGGAGGGAGGGGGCGCCCCGCGCTGGCCGTCAGGTGCATGCGGGTGGCGGGTATGCTGCCGGCACATGCGGCTTGCGGCTGCTCGTTCACTGTGAAAGCGTGCTGCCGGTTGCCCTCGGGGGCCCGTGAGGTGACTGTTGCATGTGGACCTGGTCGCGCGGCGTTTTGTTGCGGGTGGCGGGGAGGCGCGACGGCGGCGCGTGTCGCGGGAGGCCCCGTGCACTTTCACCTGGCGACGATATGAAGCGACTCGCGACTCTGGGCGTCCCTTGGGGTTTCACGGGCTCGGCTGTGGTATTTCCTTGGCTGTGGACGTGGCCTCGTGGAATTCATTCAGCCTCGTCAGCCTTCAGCTCCTCGCGCGGGAAGCGACGCCTGGGCGTTCACGGTGGTTAATTCCCAGTGGGTGGAGGGCTGTGTTTGTTGTTGCCTGTTCCAACAGTGACGGCTGCAGGCGCAACGAGCCCCAGCTGTGCTGACGGGAGCGAATTGTGTCTCGTCTTCCTGGGATGGGGAGTCGGTGCTGTTGTGTTCCCTGCTCTCGTTGGCATTCCATTTTTTCTCTCCCCTTCCCCTCCCTCTCACCGTTGTGGGAGGAAACAAGACACTTCAAAGGCAGGAGGTATGACGGTGGGATCAGTGGCAGGGGAGCGGCGAGGACGGCATGCTCGTGCAAACGCGGGCGTGAAGGGGCGGTGTGGCGGAGCTGCGAGGCTTGGCTTGCGGCTCTATGTGGTGACGCTTGGTCTTCTTGGCCTGCTGCTGCTGCTGCTTCTCTTCGCCCCGCAAAGCACAGTGGGTCAAACAACCACCCCACAACTCAATGTAAAGGTGCTGGTACTTGAGCTGACGGATCTCCCATTGCCCGCATATTTTACTCATTCACTTCAAGCCGGGTTTAACGCGTCGCTGTCGTCGCGCAATTACGTTGTCGCAGATGGTGTAAGTGTGCAGCTCATCACAAAAACGGCCACGATGGTGACGGCTGGTGACGCCATTGAAGACGCCTTGACTGCGGCCAGCGATATTCTTCTTGTGGCAGTCACCATTGGTGATACCGCCTTGAAGCACTCCTTGCCCGTTGTTGCGAAGCACAATATGGTCTCTTTTGCCCCGTTCACTGGCTCGGGCCTGGTGCGTGGGTGGAACCCCGCCTTGTACTTTGTGCGCGCTGAACCCTCGGCCGAGCTGCTGACGCTCATCCACTACGCCGTGTGCAACCTGCGCGTGCACCGGCTAGGATTCATGTACCTGCAGGACGTCTCCTTTGGGGACAGCGAGTATGAGCAGACGCAACGTGTGATGTCGAGAATGGGCTACGAGCTGAGCGGCGTGTTCACCGTGAAGAGCTCCCTCACGGGTGCGGCCGACGCCGGGGTGTTCAATGCTGCGTGGGAGAGGTTCGCCGATACCCGACCGCAGGCTGTGATTGTGTTTGGCTCGCCGATACAGGACACCGCGAAGTTCGTTATGAACATGCTGGTGGATAAGCGCACCGCCGGTGCGTGGCTGCTTGCTCCCTCATCAGTGCAGGACATGATGTTGGACGTCTGGGCTCAGGCCGTGAGTGGCGGTGCTCAGTTTGTGCCCGGGCTCCTGGTCACGACGGGAACTAACCCGTTGGCGAGGGACACGCAGTACGAGGGAATCAAGCGTTTCCAGGAGGAGATGAAGGATTACCTGGCAAGTGGTGCGCCGCCCAACCTTGACGTGGGAAAGGATTTCCCCAACAACGACAACGAGGGCGAGCTGATGGTGGCTGGGTGGATTGCCGGCGAGGTACTCTCGCGGGCGCTCAACAACCGCGAATGGGTCAAGGACCGTGATGCGTTCTCTGCATCTCTCTTCAAACAACGCCGGTATGTGATCGACGACCTCGTGATTGGCGACTACGGCGGCACGTGTCAAGGGGCGGCTGCGTCACAGGGCGCCATGTGTCAATGCAACCAGGGCGGCCGGACGTTGTACATGAAGCGGTTCGTGCAGGACTACCGCGCTGAGCCGGTGGAGGAGGGAACGCTAACGTTCAGAGGTTGGGAGTGCTTTGCCTCGGAAGACGCATTGTTTGCCCCTTTGAATGGCGTCACCGTCCTCATGGAGGACAACAGCAATGCGGCAGACGCCTTTAGTGCCATTTCGCTGGGTGCTAAAGCGGCCATAAGTGGCAATGCCATTTTTGACTCCGGTGCGGTCACGCTGCACGCGATAAGTTCCACTCTCGCCGGCGCTAAAGCTGCGCTGCTCTCAGAGATGGAGGCGAGACGCGTTCACGCTGTCAGCGGAGTTGTGACGGAGGCGATGCAGGAGGTGGGGAATTTGGCCTTCATTGATCCATTGCACCTTGAGCCGCGGCTGAACAGGTTCCAGCGGCACGTGATCCACCTGTCGCCGACGCTGGAGCAGCAGCTCTTTGCACTGGCGCATTACCTCAGCAACACGAGCGGCGCCTCCGCACGTGCCGTGATCCGCGGTGCGGAGGCTGCTGCGGTGGCGGATTTGCTGCGGAGGACGCTGGTGACATTCGGTGGGTCGCTGCGTGCCACCTTGTTGCTTCCTCGTGGTGACACCCTGCGTTGCCTGTTACCGCGCGAGGGTGTGGTGTTCGTGGTGGGCCTCGAGGCTGGCGATGCCCGAGTGATTGCGGGGCACCTGGAGGCGTTCGACGATGTGCGTGTGTTCGTCCCGTTCTCCGAGCTGGCACTGCTGTACGCCGAATTCGTTGCTGCCTTCAGTTCCCCCTTCCGCAAGGGCACGGTCGCCGACCGCCTTGTGTTCGCGACGAGTCTGCCGCACTGGGCCGGCGACGGCTCGGCGTCGGGGACTGCCGCGCAGTTCGTCGCCGCCGTGCCGGACGCGTCCCAACGGACGCCGCTGTCGCTCTTGGGCTTCGCCTCCGCGCGGCTCGTGCTGACTGTCCGCTCACAGATGGAGAATGTGAGTGCCGAACTGGCTGCCGACTTCTTCTACGACAACGTCGTTGTGACTGCGGACGACATGTACTACGGTCCCTTCGTTGACGACACGGCGTGCAATACCGCCGGT